AGTGTTTTGTCTGTGCAATACAGGATCAGGTTATAAAGACCAACAACTATAGGAGATATATCCTAAAGGATGGCACCGTCGACATCTGTCGAGCTTGTCGCTATCCCGGTGAGTCACTTAGGCATGTCATCTCCGGTTTTTCGGCACTTTCTAAGTCTGAGTACTTGCACAGGAACAATCTAGTAGCCAGAATTCTTCACCAGGAGCTCGCTCTGAAATACGGTCTCGTGGGTCGGAAATTGCCGTATTACAAGTACTTGCCGGTACGCGTGCTCGAAAATTATCGCACCAGGCTCTATTGGGACCGGGCCGTCATCACAGACAAGACTATTATTGCGAATAAGCCTGATATTGTGCTGATGGACCGGGCACAGTCAAGGATATTTTGGTCGACATTACCATTCCGTATTACGAGAACCTCGTGAAAGCCGAAAAATAGATAAGTGAACAAAATATCTGGACCTGGCTCACGAGGTGACTGACATGTGTGGTGGTCTGCCGGCCGAAATTATTCCTGTAGTCGTCTCTGCGATACCGCCCGTATCGTCCGCCGGTTTCTTTTCCTTTCCCCCTAACCCTCGGCCGTTTGGTCTCTCCTGCCGAGGGCCTCCATCTGGTTGGGCTTTTATTTATTTACGTATTTTTATATTTATTTTAGATTATTGATATTTATGTATATTTATCTTTTCATTTCCATTTATAATTATATATTTATAGAACCCAACCAGATGAGAAAACTATATTGATACCCCCCCCCCATAATAATAATGATAACTGGGACAGCTTATATTCATATGATAAAAGCTTATAATAATATAATTTATAAACAGTTACAACCACTTCAAATTAGAAAATTGTACCACGTAAACTTCGTGAAAAGAACATGATTTTTTTATACTTGTAATAAATTATATATATATATTTAAATTGAAATTTATGAGGTGATGTAACCTTTTTAATAGAATAAGGGTGATAAGCGAGCACACAGTCCACCTGATGGTAAGTGGCTGCTGTGGGCGCACAGACATCAACATCTATTCCCGGTTAAGGATCAAAATTTAGACGCTTTGTCACCCTTAAGGACTAAGATGGAATTCCTGGTACTGGAAGTACCTCGTATATGTGAAGAAAACGGTACTGTGGTCCCTGTTCTCACCATACGAAACAAAGTAGCATTTATCCGATGGGGAAGAAAATTTCTCAAGTGCAACTTCGAGAAAGTTGGAAACTCTCAAATGAGCTTGCCATAAATATTTTTATAATTTAATAGCTTAAATGTAGCTAAGCTGTTCATTTTACGTGGGGCTACAGGTCTATTATATTTTTCAATGTAGTTACCTGCTTCTATTCTTCCATTAAGACTGCCAATTTTATTTCTTCATATACATTTGTTGTTTTACAATATTTAAACAAATTTGAATTTTCATGTCTGTAGAGTTGTTTAACATAGGAACTTTTTCTTTTAAGATTTTAGATGTATTTTATATATTTTTTTGAATATAAGACTTATAGTTACTCATTCTATAATTTATTATTGAATTTTAGAAGGACAAATATAAAATTCTCAAAGTTTGTTAAGGAATTTTATACTTAAATATTAGGAAATTTAACTGATTTTCCATTTATGAATAGAGCGAGGGTTAAATTTGCTCCATAAACTTCTTTTTCTTCGTTCGCGTTTCACATTCCAAATTCTTTCCACACTTTAAAACTTTTTCCTTACACTGGCATTCTATTTTCAAGTTCTTTTTCAATTTGAAACGAAATTTTAGGAAAATATTAGGTATAATGCTTTAACATTGATACCTAATATTTTGCTTTTTATATTTTTTTTGAATATAAGACTTATAGGTACTCATTCTATAATTTATTATTGAATTTTAGAAGAACAAATATAAAATTCTCAAAGTTTGTTAAGGAATTTTATACTTAAATATTAGGAAATTTAACTGATTTTCCATTTATGATAGGAGTGAGGGTTAAATTTGCTCTATAAACTTCTTTTTCTTCGTTCGAGTTTCACATTCCACATTCTTTCCACACTTTAAAACTTTTTCCTTACACTAGCATTCTATTTTCAAGTTCTTTTTCAATTTGAAACGAAATTTTAGGAAAATATTAGGTATCATGATTTAACATTGATACCTAATATTTTGCTTATCTGTAATATTTTGCTGTCAATGTATTCACATTGATACCTAATTTAATGCTCAGTATAATTGTGATTTTAAGATGAAAGTGAAAAAATTCAAACTGACCAGGACACCAATACACGAAACTAGTTAAATTTAAAATACCACTGCTTAAAATGAGGCTTATTCAGAGGTGTGCTTGGACTATAAGGAATGCAGCCAAACGCGGTTCATTCATGGCATGCCGCCACTATAATATCTAGTGGGGGTTGCCCTAAACTTTGCTTTCAAAGTACGAGGCTGCCGCCGATAGAACTAGAGTAAAGAACATATTCCATCGGATCAATAAGCTGAATTGACAATGAGCCTGTCCTATGTGAGGACCTAGCTCGAGGAACCGTCAAACGACAACGAAAAAAAATCATGAGTGGCAACCTCGTAGCGATACTTTGTTAAAAAAGGATATCTTAAGCCACGATGCAGAACTGGAGTTTAGCTCTGGGACCATTTTGAAATAATTGTGTATCCACAATTAAGTTTCGTTTGTAGTTTAGTTTTAACGAGAGAACAAATGATTTTTTTTTTTCAAATAAGGTGATCTTATTGGTTTATATTGAACGAAAGAAATCATTAAAATCATTGCAACTAAGACATCATACATAACAATATCGAATCGGAATCCAACAGAATAAAAACGTATTCAGTAAAACTATCGTTATTTATTAACTACTAATACGCAAATATTAAATAAATAGAGCAAGATCCCAGAGCCGCCAGATATCACGTATTTTCTGACGGATGAAATGTGGACGATTGAGTAGTGTTACTATGTACTACGATCGTATGCATATCTGCTAGCTTGGTCAAACGGCCAATTTCCGGGTATCAGGCGATCTAGGTACATAAAAACATTACTTACTTCACGTAAATTCTCATAGCTAATTTTCATATATGTTTTAGAATGTATAGTTAAAAATAAGCTGTCAATACTCCCAGACACTTTTCGTCGGCCATATTGTTTTGATGATGCTTTAAAACTCTCAAAATAATTAGTTAACTTCACGTAAATTCTGATGCTCCATTTTTATATATGTTCACCCGACAACTGTTATAAAACCTAAACTAAATTTTAATATCTCTGTGAGGAGCGCGAAAGCATTATCTACGCGCATAAGACTGAGTGAGATCGACTATAACTCGTAGTTAGTAAACAATAACGAATTCTTTCTTGGTATTCCCCGAAATAATAGCAATAAAATTCGGGTTCGTAATCGCAAAGGTGCTGTCGCATCACCTGCCGAGCGTCGGTCGAGCTCGGCGAGTGACGCGGCAGCTATGCGTATCTTGAAATTTTTAACTATAACGCCCGGTAGTCAAATATGAAACGTCCTATAACTCAAAAATTATGGACATTAGAAAAAAAGTTTCAAACAAAAGTTTTGGAAAATAAACTGAATTTTGAAAATATTATATTGATTAACCTAGTATTTCAATAGTTATTGGCCGCGATAGAAAAAACGGATCATTAAATGGGCCATAAATCGTATAGGGTAAGTTTCACAAAAAGTTTACTGGAAACAAAAGATGCGAAATTTTATTTTCTACACTAATGGTTGTTATAACTTTTGCATTAAAGTGCATTGATTCCAAGATATCGGCTGAAAACTTATTTTCAAGATGGCGCTTGAAGCGCCACGTATTCATTAAATGGGCCATAAATCGTAAACCGTAAGTTTCACAAAAAAGTTTACTGAAAACAAAAGATGCGAAATTTTATTTTCTACAATAATGGTTTCATTAACTTTTGCCTGAAAGTGCATAGTTTCCGAGATATCAACAGAAAATCTTTTCTCAAAGTTGCGCTCGAATCGCCACCTGGATCTGTCAGCATTTTGTGATTTTATGCTGAATAAGTGATCCTAAACTAGACGGGTTGACGTTTCCGCTGTCATGTGAACATTGTGCTCTCGTAATTTAATTGCTTAAAAATAGATATTCAACTGTATCGTTCTAGATTTACCAAAAAAGTGGAGAAAACTGTTCAATACGTGTGTGAGAGTGTTATCAAGACATATAATACGCAAAGTAGACTGCATTATTGTGAATCTTACGGTGAGTTACCCACAGCAATAAAACCGATATGTGCTATTTTATCCCAAAATAATACCAAATACATCTTATATATCCATTGATAAACTGTGACACAAATAAAAATAGAAATATAAAACAATAAATACTTTAGAAACTTAAAAACTTTATATTTGTGATTTATAGTGACGGTTAAAGAAAAATTTTCAAACACATGCAAAACGCTCGTAACGAGCGAATCTGTCGTTTCGTATTTGTTTGTAATAGAACTACTATTTTGGCAGACATAGTAAGTAGTAATGATGGCGTGTTGGCTACGCACTCGAGGTGGTCATTTGAGGCCGCAGGATCGTATCTAACCTGCACAATTTGACTTTTTGTGAGTGTTTTAAGTTAAGTTAAGTTTAAGTCGCAAGCAAAACATCTGTGAAGTGTTTATAGATAATCAGATTGGTGTGATTATTGGTGATCGTTGATAAATAAGAATAACAATATCATCAGTGATTTGAGGTTACAAAACACTACAGACATTATTCATCGACATATGTCATAGCAACGTCAACAAGACGGACGTTTGCGACACTGACAGTACCACCAGTGTTGCCAACCATAAAAATAAATTCTACCATTTCTAATATTACGTTCCAACATACGCTAACACAACTTCATAACAACATAATGGAAGGTCAATTTCAAATACTATTTGAAAAATTGAAAATTGAGATGCAAAGCCAAACTGCGGAATTGAAGAATTCTATCACAAAAAGTATTATGGACAAAATGGATGATAAGTTAATCCCTTTAGTGGAAGAAAACAAAAACCTAAAAATCAAAGTAGAAAAATTAGAAAAAGCAATTGAGTTTCTGAAAAAAGTGGAGAAGAAAAATAATATCATAATATTTGGCCTGGAAGAAAAAAAGACATCAACTTTCCAACTACTACAAGGATTTAAGGAACATCTGAAACAAGATCTAAATATTACTATAGAACATTACGAAATCAACAAAATTTACCGCTTGGGTACTAAGAATAGAGAAATTAGGACAAATGTTTTCGATATGATACGGGGTCGGTCCAACTCTCTTTCAAATATACCTACTACACGAAAACAATAACAATTAAAAATCGGCAAACGGAAACCAAAACCAACCGAAGAAACTGGCAACAATGAAACAAGAACACACCAACCTCCCCCAAGCCGACTGGTCCTCGTGGGGGAAAGAGACCACAACCCTCCAACAATAAGTGACAACAAAAATAACAAATCCATAATCTCAATCGCAGCACTCAACGTACTTCCCTGAAAAGTGAAGAAAACCTTACAGAACTCATGTATGCTTTAAAATGGATGAAATGGGACATTGTTGGCCTCAGTGAAGTGAGAAGAATGGGTGAAAAAATCATATCGTATCCAGATTAAACATTCTACCATATAGGAGAGACCCCGGGACTCCATGGGGTTGGATTTATTGTTAAAAACATATAACAATATATGTGGAAGGATTTATAGGTATATCGGAGCGGATTGCTATAATGAATTTAAAACTACCTGGATATAAAGATCCTTGGTCAATAGTACAAATATATTCGCCTACCGAACAATCAAGCCTAGATACAATAAATACATTCAACCTTAATATAAATAATGCGATCCACGAGCACGGTCATAAAAACCTTATAATAATGGGAGACTGTAATGGTCAACTTGGAGAAAGGCACCCGGAAGAGAAAAAAGTATTAGGACCTTTCACATACAGTAATAAACCCAGAAGTAGAAATGGAGAACATATTACAAACTTCGCACTAGAAAATAACCTCACCATCTTAAACACTATGTTCAGGAAAAATAAGAAAAACACGTGGACCTGGATCTCGCCAGATGGCAAAACAAAAAACCAAATTGATTTCATTATGACCAACAGACTAACTTTTCCGTAATCAAGAAATTGAACTTTAACACTAATCATAAACTAATTAGAGCAGAACTAGCATCAAATCAACCAAAGAAACCTAGACCAAGACACGACTTATTTAACACAAAGCTCGGAAAACATCAGGTAGAACAAATAACAATCGCTCTAATAGACAAATTTACAGACTATGAATCTAACACAAAAGAATTTGGAACACGAGGAAGATACAATTGGATAGAAAATACCATAAAAACCCAAATACAACTAATTGCAAATACCAAAACTGAACCGAAAAAATGGCTAACAACAAATGCCACAAAACTACTAGAAGCGAGAAACCATTTAGATAGCACTAAAGATACACAGGACAGAAGAAAAAATTTAACGGAAATTAGTAAACAAATTATAGATAGCATAAGGAAGGACAGAAAACAAAACAGAATGGAAACCATAGAAACATTTATAAGCAAAACTGGTGGAATCAAAAAAGCATACAGAGAGTTGAGAAATTCGAAGGATTGGATTGTTAAAATGAAAAATGACAGTGGAAAATGGAATAATCGTAGAACAGGAATATTGGATATAGCAACATCTTATTACAAAAGACTGTACGAAAGTAACACAACAGAAGACGAAATTGATTTGGCGGATACCTCAAACATTCCTAACATTCTTCAAGCTGAAGTCGAGAAAGCCATAGATACTCAAAAGGTAGTGGTAGTTAGCACCTGTCCTTACAGATATGTTTAGCGATATTATAAACACTGAAATAATTCCCCAGCAATGGACAGTATCTAACATTATCCTGTTGTATAAGAAGAGAGATAAACATGAAATCGGAAACTATCGCCCCATCAGTCTTATGTCAAACATCTACAAAATCTTCGCTAAGATCATTTTAAAACGTATTGAAAGAACGCTAGACGAACAACAACCATTGAGCAGCCGGGATTTCGTAAGGACTACTCGGTGATCGACCACATCCATGTAGTTCGTCAAGTTATTGAGAAATACAACGAATATCAGCTTACATATTACATTGCTTTTATCGACTACAGCAAATCATTTGACTCTCTTCTACATAAAAACATATGGGAAGCATTAGTGGAACAAGGGATTGAACTCAAATACATTCGATTAATAAAAAACGTGTACAGTCATAGTACAGCCAGAATCCAGTTAGATAGGAAAAGCCAGCCATTTAAAATAGGAAAAGTCGTTAGACAGGGCGACCCCCCTGTCCCCAAAATTATTCTCGGCTGTACTGGAATCAATTTTCAGAAAACTTAATTGAGAAAATCTTGGGATCAATATAGACGACACATCACTGACGCATTTAAGATTCGCTGATGACATAGTGCTTTTCGCCAAAACACCTGAAGCCATCAATAAAATTATAAAAGACCTATCGATAGAAAGTGAGAGAGTAGGATTAAAATTCAATCCAGAGAAGACTAGAGAGATGACAAATGGAGAGAAAACCACGATACGGATAAGAAATACCGAAATCAACTACACTGACAAATACATTTATCTGGGACTACTCATAACCCAAAAAGAACCTATGCGAGAGGAAGTGAAGAGAAGAGTTACGAATAGCTGGAGACGATACTGGAGCTTAAGAGGGGCTAAGAAAGACAAACAACTTCATATAAACATCAAAAGCAAACTATTTAATACCTGCGTACTACCCGTCCTTATGGATGGCTGCCAATCATGGACTTTAACTCGGGAATGACAAACATGCCAGCAACTTGCAAATATGCTATGGAGACGAGCATGCTGAATGTCAAAAGATCAGACAGACTGAAAAATTGTGTCATAAGAAATAAAACAAGAACCATAGATGTAGTACGGAAAATTAAAAGACTCAAATGGAGGTGGGCAGGGCACACAATAAGAGGTCATGACAAATGGAGTAAGAAGGTGACAAGATGGTATCCCAGGGAAGGAAAAAGGAAAAGAGGCAGACCGCAGAAAAGATGGGACGACGATATAAGATAAGTGGCAGGAGTGATGTGGAACAAAGTGGCTAAAGAAAGATCAGAATGGAAGGGGTTGGGAGAGGCCATTTCCGATTGGCAAACAGATCTACAAAAGATAAAAAAGCAGCAAATATTAGATTAAGTTTTATGTTTGCTTTAGAATATCATTATCATTATTATTATAAGTGATCCTAAACCTCATAAAAAATAAAATTGTATCGGAAATTTCGTGCAAAGTTAAATTCTATTTTTTCTGTACTATTTCATTAAACATTTTATTTGTCAACAACATCTTAAAATATACAATTTTTTATTTTATTTAAAATTGTATAATTAAAAAAATATTTAAAAAATGAAAGTAAATTAGCCGACATCTAAAAATTGTTTTAATTTTTTTTAATTGAAGAAATTATTTAAAAAAATGAAAATAATTTCATTTGTAAAAAATTTGAAAAACTATGTGGTATTTTAAAAAAAATATTTTAGTTGTAATCAATAAATGAAAAAAAAATTTAAAATGAAAACTTTAGTATTATTTATTATGTCAATTTTTTTCTTATTTTTGTTGCCATAATTTATTTGTTAACAAAAGTTATAAGAATTATAAAATATTTGCTCAAGTAATTTTCATGGCCTTAACAGCGCAGTCGGTCTCACTCAGTCTCATGCACGTAGATAATGCTCTCGCGCTCCCACTCACAGAGATATTAAAATTTTGTTCAGGGGATGATTGCGTCTTGGATCGGTCTGTCTTCTTGTCAAGGGTATTAAAATAGTTGTCGGGTGAATATATATAAAAATGGAGCATCAGAATTTACGTGAAGGTAACTAATTATTTTGAAAGCTTTAAAGCGGCTGCAAAGCAATATGGCTGACGGAAAGTGTCTGGGAGTATTGACAACTTATTTTTAACTGTACATTCTAAAACATATATGAAAATTAGCTATGAGAATTTACGTGAAGTAAGTAATGTTTTTATGTACCTTGATCACCTAATACCTGGAAATAGGCCGTTTGACCAAGCTAGCAGGTAGGTATACGATCGTAGTACATACTAACACTACTCAATCGTCCACATTTCATTCGTCAGAAAATACGTGACGTCTGGCGGCCCTGGCATTTTGGACTAAAATGGACATTACTTAGCAACGACGTTGTTTATATAAAATATTCATAGAACCCATTAGGAGTAAATACAAAATATATCAATATAAACATTATTTGCTTGACCCTTAAATAATTATCACAAGGGACAGAATAACGATCACTCGTAACAAATCGCTTTCTTTAAACGCGTTCAGTTTTACTTTTTTTTTCACTATACTTACAGTTACGCAAAAGGGCAACATAATCCCTAAACATTTTTGTAACACTAGATTTATATGAAAATCGGATTTACGTGAAAATCGATTCTTACGAAGTAAACTCCAAAAATAAAATGGATTTTTTTATCAAACTGAATTGACAAATGAACCACAGTCCATCTGATGGTAAGAGGATACTTCAGTCCATGGATATTTCAAACATAACGGAAAACTATAGATGCATTGTCACCTCTGAGGAATAAAAAATATTTCCTCGCAGCGTCTAAAGTGTATTTATACTGGTTTTTATACAAAAAATAGAAATAGGCAAAAGAATGGTACCTTTTCAGAATCTTAGAGAGTTAAAGACTCCTTTCGCCTAGTTAAATACAATTTTTTGTAATAATATATTTAGCAATATTTCACTTTGCACAATAACATTAATAGATGGGAAACTTTATAAATATTTTATTAAGGTACACAGAAACGATTTGTAGTATTTGATTTATCGGTTGCTGAAATAATATATGATCGCAACCTTAACTTCAAGGCATATATTAGAATTCGTAACATAGTTTACGCCATGAGACGGCTGAGAAACTCTGCACCCCTGTCAGTCTCTGCTAACGTATTGTATTTCTTGCTGGGGAAGCGCTTCCAAAACAGTCGTGATGAGAATTGAGAGAGCTCAACGTTCGGTCCTGAAAGTTACGCTTAACAAGAAATACGGGTATCCAACAGTTAAACTATACAGAGATAGTAAAGTACTTACAGTTCGGAAGCTATTTGTCTCAGATGTGGCTACATGTGTTCATAGAAATATATTAAGCACACATAAATACAGTGAGCTGATGAAAAAACGTGTGTTTCAAATGCCATTACCAAGCGTTCGCACAGCTTTCGCAAAACGACTTAGTACATTCATTGAAACACTAATATATAGTAAAGTTATGAAGGCATGCGACATAAGAGACTGCTCTACGAACACAGCTAGAATAAAAATACGAAGTTGGTTGCTTACGCTTAGTTAAAAACAAACAGAAAAGCTGCTTTAAACATTGTCATAGTAGCTACATGCCCAATATTGATATTGATATTGATATTATAGCAGTAATTGCAAATTCAAAATACTGTAATATTAACGAATTATAATGTGTATGTGTGTGTGTTATATATATATATATATATATATATATATATATATATTTTTTTTTTAATGTGTGTATATAAGTTTAAGGTTGAAGTATATGTTTATATTTATGACCATAAATAAATTGGAGTAGATATTTAAAGGGAAAGCTTTGTAAAGTCAGCCGTGCACAAAGTTCTGTTTTTTGTTAATATGTGTATATGGCTCTCGCGATATAGGTCTGCGTGCCTAGTATGAGAACCACTGCTAAATTATTTGTAAAGGTTCTAACTGTCAAATAAAGTATTTTTCATTTTGCAATTGCATTTTCAATAAAAAGAAGACGGAATAGTCGTTTTACAACTCGTCTCAAATGATCGTTCGGTTTTTCTTTGTAGATACCAAAACACAAACTTTTGTTTAATAATGTTCTAAAGAGCGGATACAATTCCTTTTTTTTTTCAAATGGCGTCACTCCTGCAAATTTTCATATTATTTTTTATATACAAGTTAATTATGAGAGCGAAAAATAGTAGTCATATATTTTTGCGCCAATTTATCGTAAAATGGAATTTTTAAAAACATTGATAACTTAATTGGATTTTTTTATTTATTCTTGTAACGAGTGTACATTATTTACATTTTAAATTTTGCCAAAATGTAAGCCAGTTTGTCGGCAACGCAACAGTTTATCGTTTTACACTCCTTAATAACAATATCTGGTACTTATAAATACTTAAATTAACACAAAAATAAAATTAAAGAAACATTCACCACTATGGACATAACGACATATAATGTTTCCTCAGGATGGATTTGAGCTGCGACTTAGTTACGCTTTCGTCATATATACCCACCACCTCATTACACAAGGTTGGAGTTATCAATTGCCTTGTATGCCGTCCAAAATAATTTTCAGCCCCTAGGTATAAGATACTTCCTACTTTATGTAATTTAGCGCTTCGGAATTATATGTCTTAGGTTTATTAAATGTTACCATACCACGTTGCTCTAATATGATGATGGATGTTACTTTCATGTCTGTGGAAATAATTTTGCAAATTTTAAATAACATTTCATATTTTTTACCTAGAGCATTTTTCGTTTAAGGATATCTTTAAGAATCTTATCTGTATAGATAGACGTTACTTTGTTAGGATAATTTGATAGTATAAGTCCATATGCACCTAAGCGGTATCCGATCGTTGCGTTTACCAGGACATAATACAGCATATACATGATACCGCGATTCACAACATATTTTATATGATTCAGTTTACCTAAAACTGCCCTAAGCTTGTTACATACTGATTCAACATGCAAGTCCCATGA